TTATAGGATATTGCAATTATTAAATAGTCGTAGTTAACATCTCTTTGAAAATATTAAAATATAAAATACAATAAAATTATAGTCGATTCTTTGAAATGTGCATGCAGATTATTATTTAGATTTTTCATTTAAGATAAATCGTTGTTAAAATAATTATCAAGATTTGCAATATATTTGCATGATTCGTACGATAACCGATTTTAACCTTTCCTCCTTTTAATTAATCGTTACAATTATCAGATTATCAATTTCGCAGAATACACGTGGATCATCGGCATTAAATATTCATAATATAAATTTGCGCAAAAAATGAAACAGACTAAATCAAGATTATTTTCATTTGTTATTACACTCTATTCGTGTATACTATGTGTATGTATATTATATATATATATATATATATGTTTTGCTCTTTTCGCAGAATAATGGAAAAAAATTCCCGGGATTTGCATGCAGCCATCAACCTACACGCAATTCACGGATGCGATGTTATCACAGACTCGCAAAAAAAATTGTTGCACCGGAATTCCATTAAAATTTTTTACCTCGATAATGAAAATGAATACGAAAGAGAATATTCACAAAGCTATGCGCATAAACTGGAAAACTTCCTGTCAAACGTTAATTATTAATGTTAATGTTAATGTTAATTAATTGTTAAAATATATTAAAGAAGAAATAAGATTTTCGCATTATAATTAAGAAATTAAAAAACCTATAAATGAGAAAATTAAAATTCATAAGTATATTATAAATAACTTAATATTCAGAGATAAAATTTTGTTACATGTTTCTAATAAAAAAAAGGAATTATTAAATAAAATTTCCTTATTAAAAAAACTGCCATAATATAACCTAAATTTGCATTGAGAAAAGAAAAAAATTATTGATTATTATAATGTGAATAATAAAAAATTTACTTTTAAATTAAAAAAAATAAATTCTGTACAAGAATACAATAATAATTCAAATGAAAAAAAAGAAAAAATGAAGAAAAAAGAGGTCTTATCATAAAAAGAACAAACTTTCTTGATAAATCTGATAGAAGCAAAGGTCAAAATAAAGTTTGAAGAGATTATACAAGAACGTAGCTTTTATAATTCCTTCAAGAGCGGGTGTACCACATTTTTTCTTTCATTTTTTCCTTCTACTTCATCAAAGTAACGAGCCATTTGTCGAATTTCGCATAACTTTTCAACATTTTCATCAGCACCGAATTTTCTACACGTGAGAACAAACACGTTATTCGTGTCATATTCATCAAGAATAATTGCGTTATTTGCTCTTTTCAAGCATTTGAACTTTTTTAAGAGTAATAAAACATATTATACATATTCTATCAAAAAAATTTTGATGTGTATCTAAATATTTTGTATATAAATGATTAGAATTAAAATAATGTAGACATAAAAAAAATATCTGCACTTTTTCATCAATTATAAAATAACATTCTATTGTTCTAATATATATCTAATAAAAAGTGATTTAAAATTCAAATTTCAAGAATCTTTATTTATACTTTTAATACAGGGAAATGAATATATCTTTCATCGAAGAAACATTGAACGAATCAGAATCAAGATAAATAAAACATAAAACACATAAAAAGTTAAAAGATAAAATAAATAAATTACATATTAGAAATTGAGGTTATGATACTTTACTTCATCTATTGTTTTCAATTGGATATATCTAAATTGTTATTTATATATAGATGTAAGAAAAATTTTCTTGTTTGTAAATATCATACATCTCTTTATCTCACAACCAAAAAAACACCGTTTCTACACTATTATATGTAATACGAAATAACATTTCACGCGTGCAGATTTGCACAATTGCACGAAACTGAATTGATATAATCAATCGGATGCGCGCGCAGCAAACTCGCGCAGCAATATTGCGCATGCAAAATTTATAAATCCAACATGGCGATTATATTTAATTTAATCACAGTCAGAGATGACACGTATACGAAGAAAAGTCTCGATTAAAGAGAGAATCCATCGATCTACCTGCGAGAATATTTTCCAAAAATTATAGACGCTAGAAAATTTTTTCTTTTATAATATCTTTCGATCGCAATTTTAATTTAAATATTTTCATATCTTGGAAAGATTATTTTTTTTAAGAATGAAATCTCGCGTTCGAAATTTAAAAAGATTATTTTTCTTAAATCTTTCTCGAGATTATCACAGAGAGCCAATTTAAAGAACATTGTGCATTTCCTTTTTGTGACGAGGCCCGGCCAAGAATCCCTAATGAGGCTGGATAAACGTCATTTAACCCTTAATTGCAAAGAAATACATTTATTCTCAGGATCGCAGGTAGGATGAAATCCCCCCGCTGGATAATTTAACGCGCGCCACCGCGAATAATTTAATTACGTGGAATCGTCGTGCTTCTCTGCACGAGAGAGCTTGGCCAGAAGAGTGAATTAAGCCTAATTTGAGATAAGAGCGAAAGAGAGACCTATCACTCGCCCTCTCTTTCCCTCTCACCTCAAATTAACCTTTATTCTTGCGCGGTTTGAACACTCTGCTTGAATTGTAACTTTTAAGCCTCGAAGATAATTTCAATCGTGGAAATTTGGCGGATAGATTGAAATCGCGTGCAATTGTGAATATAAATCGAAAAATTTGGACAGTAATAATAAAATATTTCAAAAATTTAGAAATAAGTTTAAATAGGTACTCTATTCTTCTTCTCATAATAT